CCATCTGCAACTGCTGGTTTGCATCCAGAATCCCTGACTGACTTGAAAACTGCCAGGAAAAATCAAATAAGTTATGGCAAATGCCGGAATTCTGACCTTCTTTTACGTCTCTTCTTTTTTATTGCAACCTGTGAAATATCCATGTGGTAATTTCTCTTTGTTCTAGTTCAGTACAATTTTATATTAAAAAATGATGGATTGAGATGAGTGACTATTTAGAACAGGACAACATGGTGGCTCTGCCCTATGCAATAAACCTATCTACTCTATGAAGCAGCTAGTATATTATTGGGCAGCTCCTCTTTCCAAACTTTGACTGAAGTATATCTTCCAGAAACAACACTGTCTAATACAACAGTAACCAGATAATGTTCTCTGGCCTATGTTGTATTGGATGTCAGAGTAGATGACTGAATGGACCCTTTTGGCCTTAAAAAACGCTACGAAACCAAGACGTGAGTCCAATCCATGGGATGTCATGGTATCTTTACAATCACCACACCAAGTACCTCATTAAAATAGGCTCCCAAATTTCATAAACCTTGATGAAGTTCACTAAGAAGTTGTCTCTTGTGAAGCACTGAATGACGCTTGGTAGATGGTATTGGGTAAAAGCCACCCAATGGTCAATTCTTTTTTGACCTACAATCTCCTTTCCCACATTTAGAACAAGACCTACCCTTACATCCACCTCCCAATAATATTGCAATCACCTGCTGAATCATCAGTTCAGCCATTTCCAGTTTCTTATGCAAATCCTCCACATCCAGTTTCATGGCCGAGTTCTCAGAGACCAGGGAGTGCAGTTTCTCCAACAGTTCTGAGTTCTGCTGCTTGAGCTCCTCACTGCCTTTGCTAGGAGAAAGAAGGAAATTAGCAATAATCCTTAATTTTACCCCTGGTTCTTTGTTACTCATGAGGTAAGTTTACAAACTGGTCCTTTTGGAGGCTGGAAGGAGGACAGGCTGTGCACTAAAAGAGGCATCTTGTAGTTTCAGCTTGGGGGCAGCTGTCACAGAGGTCAACAGAATTGAACGTGCAGCATACAGAATAGGACTGACCTTTGTTTGTACAAATCCAGTTTCAGACTGTCTCGCTCCTTCACGACCTCTCTATTATGCTAGAGAAAGAGGAAACATACATGAATCAACTCCATACTTTCACCAAGGAAAGCTTAAAACCAACTATTCTCAGCCTTCTGCAGATCAGCTAATGTGAAACTAAGACCAAGCCCTCATTCACAGCACTACTATGGCTAGAACCTTGTATCAGGCTACAGCCAGCCAGCACTAGACCTAAGCCTGTCACCACATCAAACTGCTAACCTAACAAATGTGCCAGGAATTCATCTGCCCAGTCTTCAAAACTGACATTAACTAGCCATGAGATTGCGTTGCAAGTTTCTGGATTAGCATCAATACTAAAATGTCTCTTTGATGGAGAAGCTACTGGGCAGAGGCCATGGCTGGGCTTTCGTTAATTGGATCTGGCAAAACAGATCAAGCAAGGTGCCAGATCTGAAGACAGAAGCTCTGACCAAAGATTAGTAGCTGCAAAAACTGAAAAGTCTGCCTTGATGATTAAGAGTATGGAACTTTGATTACAGGGCCTATACTTCCCTCTTCTCAAAAATGGTACCGCAAAGGATGCAGCAGTTTAGTGAAGGATTGACATGTGTTTTTTCCTAAGTGTAAATGAAGGGGTGTCTCACTTTCTCCAACTGTTTCTGCTGTGTAGAGATGGAAGATAGAGTGCGTTCCAGCTCAGATATCCTCTGGCGAGATGACTGTAACCGGGTAGTAAGGTCTTCAGCTTCTCCTGACAAGTCAAAACAGATTTAGGTGGGGCACTGCTGCACACAGTTTTACAGAACTGGCTGAACAACACTTTCTACTCAGCCAACAAACTCTTAAAACTCTCCCTCCCTTTAAGGAAGTGAAGAGAGTGGCACAGTGAAGAGAGATTTGGAAGTCAACAGAGCTGAGTTCTCTTCGGTCTCTGGCTTTAGTGTCACCTTGAACAAATTAACTTCTCTGTGCCTCAGCTTCCTCATCTGTAAAATGGGGATGATACCCTCTTTCTCTGCAGATAAAAAAGCACTAAGTGCTTATTATTACTTTTATAACACAGAATTCAGCTAAGAATGAAACACCCATGAAAATGTACCTTCCCCTGAAAGCTGAGGTATTCAGCAAGAAGCAGCCAACAGGACAGTAAAAAAGTAACAGTCTGGATAAGCACCCTGTATTTAACATTCGTAACAGGGCTTCAGCAACATACAAAAAACCCTCAATTCTTCTGGAATCAATGTACTCTGATTTGGGGGATAGCTTGGATGACAGAAATAATAATTGTGCCAAATATTTATCATTAAGAAGTCAGTGAATTTTACAGGCAGCCTGCCAATGAATTCAGTGCCTATGAGTCAAGATCCTTGATTAGTTCGAACAACCTCAGTTGAATGCTCAATCTACCTGCTTTCTGCCGGGCAGCTTGTTGCGTATGTGCCAATGCTGTCTGCAATTCAGATTTTTCAGAGACTAGAATTCCAATAGTCTGGATATGAACCTTTGGGAAAAGAAAAGAACTCAGCATAAGACTCCCCATGCTTGGAACTACATATCCACAGAAGACACCAAATGATAATTCACTAAAAGCAGAAAGATTAACTTACATCCATAGGTGACAAGTATCAGAGGGTAGCCGTGTTAGTCTGAATCTGCATAAACAACGAGAAGTCCTGTGGCACCTTATAGACTAATAGATTTATTGGAGCATAAGCTTTCGTGGGCAAAGACCCACTTCATCAGGACTTGATTGTTTATACATCCACAGGATGAGTCTACAGCGTTGTTGACCAAATACCCTTTCTGAATGGCTGGATGAATACATGGATTTCAGAGGAAGAACATCCTAGTGTTAGGAAGTCCAGAAAAAACTAAGTGAGGATCAGATGAGGACATGACTGAAATGGAAAAGTCCTCTCTTACCTGTAGCTGCTCCCTCAAAGCTCCTTGCTCCTTTGCAAACTTCTGTTCAAACCCCTTCTTTTCCTACGTAAAGAAACAATGCACATAAAACAATTTTTAAAGGGATGTTTTTAAAAATAAGATACTAGGGGGCTGCACTCCCTGCTCATCAACACCCCCTCTCTCTGATGGTAGGCAGCCCTGGCTCTGCACCCTGGCTGCTGGGGAGGGCCAGGCCAAGGCATAACAGCCTGGCCTTCCCCACCAATCGCTGGCCTGAGGCCAGCCCAGCCCTGGCTCTCTTCCCATGACTGCAAAGGGGAGAGAGTCTGAGCTGTGGCATCACCAGACCCTGAATTCTCCCCCCTAGCTACCGGGGTGAAATGGGCTGTCCCACGCTCATGCCCCAGCTGCTGAGAGAGGGGGTGGGGGGGGAGTGGGCCAAGGCCTCGCCAGCCCCAGCTCCCCCCACAAGACCCAGGGTGGGAGGAGGAGGAAGGCCACAATGTGGAAGCCCCAGCTCCCAAGCACTGGGAGAAAGGGGAGGATGGAGGAGGCAGGCAGAATGCAGAGTGATATGATGACATCACTCTGTCATCCCGCGAGAGAGAGAGAATATGAATGAATTATAACCTAGGTTTCTTGTGGTAATAATATCATCCAACTGACACAGGGAATTTTAAAGACCTAAATTTGCAGTTCAACAATTAAACTTTGTATTTATGTTTTGTACTTTGCTCAGCGTGGGTAATAAAAATAAATTAGGCTCTTTTACTTTGAGGTTCTCACACAATAGCACAATGCTGCAGCGTCTAGATTGCAAATGACAGGGGAATGTTTAAATCTGAATATAACCATTTTCACTTGATCGTTTTGAAATTAAATAAAAAAATTATAAGATTTTGTTTAAAAAAATAAATAAAAAAATAAAAAAGGACAAATCTCCATTCTGGGCCTAAGCTACCTGACAATGTTTCTTAGTAATAAGAACTTTAGTTAGGAATAAATACGATCTTTTGTTAATGTTGTCTTGGAGAGGAAAAATAAGGTGCAAGTTAATAGAAAGAGCATCAGTTACCAATAGATGCTGGTAACTTTTCATATAAAAAGACACCTATTCAAGGTAAGGGTTGTCTCTCCTTTAAAATATGTTAACGGGGAATTAGACTAGAGGAGCGTTGCAGTCTCTTCTAATCTCTATGATTCTATTATGATGATAACAGTAAGGAGAAGCTTAAACAATATATTACATTTAAAGAGGGATTTAATCCTACACTCACACATACACGTAATTGCAGCGTGTTAGAACGGGCACTTTTCGTTTTGGCTTTGCCAGTATGTCAGCTATGCCAGCTAATTATGTTTGCCTAAGGAAATCTGTGTGTTAGAGTTCTAATCTAACAGGATGAAGAGCAGAAAGATTTCCCAGCATTTTACCTTCTCCAGCTGATTCATAGCCTCTTGGTTCTGCTGTTTCTGCAGAAAGAATAAAATTAATGCATCAGTACTAACAATAACTTTCTTATTGATGAGATCAGTAAATCTGTCTTTAATCTTAACCAAAGACACAAGACACACATGGCTAGCTATTGCAAACTCGTGTTCTGTTAAATCTTTTAGGCATTTTCTACAAAGACAGGATGTTTCAACCATTAGAACAACAGATTCTGGGATCACAGCACGTGGGAACCTGTATTAGCTAGCTCAGTGTATGTCCTTCATTCTTTGACAGAACATCCCCATTTCACACTAAAACTGCTGAGGTAATAAAATCCAACATGCTTATATTTGATCTTAGTACCATTCCTGTTAAACACATTCAAATGTAGGATGCAAATTTATCAGTGTAGCACTTGATACTATATCACATTAATGACATATCAGAATCCTATAAAAAGAACCACTTTTTACCATGTGGGAACCCCATTTAAGTCAGTGTGGCTCTGCCAATGCACAGGGGTCCACTACCCATGTGGATCAGATGAGAGGACGAAGAACAAAATGTTGAGAAAGAGCCAGCATATACACAATACTGTCCCAATCTGTTCTAAACTCACTAGAGAGGTGGTTGGAGGCTTAATGAAAAAACAAACAAACACTGTGCTAGGTTCTGGGTGCATGTGCATAGGACAGAAACAAAGTGAGCAGAGATTCCATATCACTATAATACAGTACTAGCAGCCACGAGACATCCATAAAACTATGAACTGTTGAGCAATGTTCCTATTCGCTATCAATAGCGAGTGACTATCTTCTTCACCGGAGTTATTGAAATCAGCTTTGCCTAGGTTGTGTACATCATCCTGTTCATGATGTGTTTTAGGAAGGTGATTGTGTGGAAAAGGATAATATATTGAAGGCTTTGATCCTAACAGAACCAGTGGGTAAGTGCAAACCCAGGAGTGTAGCATAGGCCTTGTGTAATTCCAGGAAAGAGACCGCTTCACATGCCTGTGTGGAAGCAGGCAAGCAGGGACAGTCGCTGGTAGACACTATTCTGATATCAGGTGCCAATGCTGCCCAGCCTCAATACTACAAAAGAAAAACTAATACAAGGGAAAAGCAATGCAGCAAAACAAAAGGGGTAGTGGGATGCATTGAGGAGAGCCCTGAAGTGCAGGAAGGAAAATGGGGAGGAATGAAATAGGGAGAAAAGCATTTCAAACCAAGCAAGGCACTTTTTAAACTGAAACCAATCCTTTGCAGTTGTGTTTCTTGCTGTGTTAAAGCAACAGGCTGAAAAGCAGCAGCAACTTTCATGCAGGCTACGGGACAATTCATTCACAGTGCCACAGATTCAGAGAAGATGATCAGACATCAGACCCTGCGCTCATTCATTACTCCCATTACTCCTATTCTGCAGGCAAAACTAGAACAGCAAGATCCGCTGGAGAAAACACGGATTTTAATGTTGCTCCCACTGAACTTGCTCCTGCTCCCACGGAATTCACTGGTTGCAGACCAGGCCCAGTTTAGTTGCTTTATCTTGTCTCGTTAATCACCCAGGGCAAAGTATGGTTACCTAAAATCCCATGACTATATATCATATGCCTCAGACAAGTTAGCAAATTCAGGAGTCATCTTTTGACTTTTTACCCACTTAATAGATATTTCCATAAAATCCATTTTGTTCTCCATATAATGCAGGGAGAACCACTTCCCTTGTGGCACTGTAAACAAACCCATTATCTCACAGACACCCAGAGAGCATGGAGGAGCAGCAAGGACAATGTCAAACTGGTTGGCTGGATTGTTTCTTACCAATTCCTCTACCTTTGTACTGAGCTGTTTGTTAGTTAGATTGCTGGAATCTAGGGCTACTGCCAGCTCCTGGTAACGTGTCTGATGGGCGCATGCAGACAAGAGGAGAAGGAAGGGGGGCAGAAGAGAAGGGGAAAAAAGGCAATAATTAAAGTACAGAAAATAAATTAATATCACAGTTTTGATCTAGTACGAGTCCCCCAAATACACTCCACTTTTAACTAATATAGGCTGGATGGCAAGATGTTCTATCCGCATTCCACTAAAGGCTTCACTCCCATCTAAAGACACTAACTGGGCCCATCTAAAGACACTAACTGGGAGTAGCGGCTGCACTCATAGCTCCAGCATTCAAGAGTAGACCTACCACAGATGTCTAGCTTCAAATGTTGGGCATAGCTTCACTGTCAGTTATAAACCACACTGTTTTTACTGAACAGATTCAATACAACAATCACTGACATTCCCATTGGGCAATCAGCAGTGAAATTATCTAAGTGAATGATGGAATCAGAAATTGAGTTCTTACCTCCATCTCCTTCATATTTGTAGAAGAGACAGCACTTTCCCCATTCACATAGGAAGTGGACTACAAAGAAGAGTCAGAAAGAGTAACTAAATTTTATATCCCAAGGGCACAAATGCAATATAAAATAGCAGAAGATGTACAAACAGACCCCCAACAGTACAATACTTATACAGTGCCTTTCACTTGAAATTTAGGGGGGGGGGGGTGTGTGTGTGTGTGTGTGTGTGTGTGTATGACCATACATACTTTTCTGGTTAAAGTTATGCTAAATATGTTGACCTTTGCTCACAGCATATACAGAATGCATCTTAGGTGAAAGAAAGAGACCATGTACCACAGATTTACTGCTGCTGAATCAAGAGAGCATCTCGATCCGGTTTTCTTCCCACTAAGTTTCACATTCCTAAAACAATGGTTTCTGCTTTTCAATGTTCAAATGTCTTATTGTTTAGTGGGATTGCTGCAAATGACTCTGGGATTAAAAATAAAATTATTGGGCTAGCTACTTAACCCCTCCCTCACTCCCAGCTTTCAGTTTTAAAAACGTTATCAAATGGAATAAAATGGTACCTGAGAAACTAAGCCATTGAGCTGCTCGGACAGCTGGCGGAGACTCTCTGTAGATGAGATGGACCTGAGAATGGAAAAAGACAATGCATTCCTTTAGGAGGTGGGTTTATTCATGGAACTGCCCAGGACTGGACAGCGCAGAAGGTAATTTCTACAAGCAAAGTCAACTTATTGGCCCCTTTAGGACCTTGTTACAGGCACTTTTTATTAAACAAAGGACACACCTATTTCCATCCAAGGCATTTTTAGGATCATCTGCATCTTGTACCTGTGGGGCAAAACATAAGAATCGCATGACTATAACAGAGAGAAACACACACACACACACCCCACAGGTACATTCAAACACCCCCTAGAACTTGCACTACATAGTATTTTTCATTACCGCAGTACTTCCAAATGTGAACTTATTTCTGAAAGCACAACACAGGCCAGGTCTAGATCGTGGATAATTTCTAATAATTTTGAGACGCCTCATGTCACAAAGGACTTATATAATATTTATCCGATGAACATGAGAGTAGGTCAGTCAAGGCCCTCAACAGTTCCTCAATATCACAAACAATTTGCCTTATTAGAAAAAGTTTCAATTTAATTCTTAAACATTTTGTAAAGAAAGGAAGGTTACACTCCTATTGGAGGAGACTCTTCTTTTCCTAAGGATGCTCCCTGAGAGATAGAAAGGGAAATGAGTAAGGTAGGATGGATAAGCATGTGCATCCTAAAGATCTTTACAAGGTATGAAAGTTAGTTTGCTCACGGCTGGACCAAGACTGAGTGGAGAGGAGAGAATTTTACACTTGTTTAGAAAACCTGTGCTAGCAAAACATTTCAGCTTAAAATAAAAAGGCATCATTAGTAGTATTCAGGATGCAAATGCTCACAAACCTGCGACAGTGGCATGTTACCAGGGCCAGGCATGACAGAGCCAGAGCTAGGTAAACTGTTGCTGTTAGATAACACGGGGACATCAGCAGCAAGCTGTTCAGCATTATGAGCAGCAACATCAGTGTCAAAGCATGCCTGTCACAAAATATAGCACAAGGATTACAATCTACATGCAGGAGGAAGGGACACAGATAGACACGTGAATACAATACCCATGTGATCTCCATGCACAAAACATGCCAAGTGAACACTGGTCAAGTACAGACATGTGTACTAGCAAAAAACTGTGTTCTCCCCAGAGCAAACCTGATCAATCCAGCAACCTGTTTTTCTTCACTGAATAATAAACAATGTCGCCTATTATCCTTGTCTCCGGTTTGTGGGGGTCCTTTATCCAGAATTTATCCAGCTCTCCTCCTTAATGAGGGGCAGTAATTTTGCCAGACTGTAAATCTGCATGTGAAAATGTCAGTTCTGGTATATTTACTGCAAGGGAACTACAGTAGACTAAACATAGGGCAATGCCATATTTATGGTCTCTGCTTTGCAAAGCACCACATTCAGACTGTTTCTGGAGAGAACACTAGTCAAAGAGTACAAATGGAACAAAATGGGTTAGTGACCACTCAAGAACTGGGATACTTTGACTCAAGTATTACTCCCCACGCTCCTTTCTGAAATCCCCAATATCTATCTTCAATCCTGCAGAACAAGTAGTCCTAGAAAGCCAAAAAGTTCCAGTATAATCTTCTCAAGTATCAGAGGGGTAGCCGTGTTAGTCTGAATCTGCAAAAGCAGCAAGAAGTCCTGTGGCACCTTATAGACTAACCAAAGTGTTGGAGCATAAGCTTTCGTGGTATAATGTTCTGGCATCCTGTTGCAAACTGTGTCATTACATTGCCAAGTCACAATCAACCACCACACACAGACAATACAAAGCAAATGTTGTAATGCAATGACATGACAAACCCCACAAGCATTCGGTGGTTCTCTACAACTACATTCTATAGTCTTCTCTCTTATTCCAGCCACCTCCTTCCTGGATGCTTAGAGAGAAGTTGAAATATTTCTCTTCTCTTCCCCATTTTTGACCGCTTGGATGTGCCTCCTATTTCCTTAAGTAGCACTTCTCCGGAATACTACAAACACCAAGGTATAGGACATAGACTTGATGAAACTAATAATATCACTGAGCTATATGGCTGAGAATCCCATACTAATTTTTCATTTTTTTTTTTTTTTAGCAGTACTGGCTCATGCTGTCAGACTTCAACATACTTAATACTTCTAACAAAACTTAACATATCCCTCAGTCTTCCCAATCTCAGATTATTTTACCCTGATATTAGTTCAGGGACTCACCAACAAAGACTACAAAGAGGACAGATGGAATCCTCCTCTACCCCAATGCAGTATTTGAAGTTAATTGTGTGTATTAGTTTTTCAGGGTAGATCTAGTGCACCATGCTCAAAGATGTAATCAATATAAGGTACCAATAACGGTGATAAAGTTCCTTTTCTGAGAATGAGTTTGAGAAGAAAGCAGCATGAGAGCTAATTTGTGAGCAGAATGTTAGAAATACCAAAATACTCATTCAAAAAATTAAACTGTTGTGAAATTCTTAACTCTGAATAAAAACCTAATAACTCTACCCAGCCTCATACATTCTAGGATCCATTTGCTTTTTTTCCAGGGTTCCTGTTTTGTCAGCTTCTCTGCCTACCACACAACCAGAAAGCTACAGTGGCGGCGGCAGGACGGATTTGACTGGCTGTGTTAAGACACTAATGGCAGCATTAGCTCAGCTGCCAGCATTCAGCTTTTCTGCCTATAAGCATCAAATGAGTGTTCAGACAGCATTTCTCAGACTTAGGAGTTCTATAAGCAAGACAACTGGGAATTAGAGATGTTAAAAATAGTGTAATATAGTAACCATGTAACCAATAAAAATCTGAGGGGTTACATGCATTGCTAAGCTTTATACTGCAGAACCCACAGCGAAGCCTCCTCCCCCAGAGCAGGGCCATCAGCTCCTGCCTGTCCCCCTCCTGGGGAGGAGGTTTCATGGCCCTGCCACAGCAAAGCCACCTCCCCAGAAGCGGGTTGAGTTTAACTGATACCATTAACTGATAAGCATCAACTTATCAGTTAGGCCGTTAATTGATTAAACTAACATCCCTACTGGGAACAGAAATTCTCTTTCATTAGAGGCTAAAATGCTAATTTTCAAGTTGCTCTTGAAGATCCTGGGCATAACAATCCACAGCTCCAAGAAAATCTAAATAGTTATGCAGATCAAAACATCTCTCTCCACGGAAAAGAAGGTAAGAGAAGCACTCAGGACATCAAGACAAATGAAGGAGTCATTTCTCCACCTTCACAACAGCTAAGCATAGGTCTGGCCTTCATTTGAAGACTGAAAACCATCAATGTAACAGACAACTAATTGCTTTCTCAGATATGCCCAGGCATTAATCTGAATTAGAGATGTCAGATATCACATAGCCACAACAATTTTTAGTAGTTACATTAAAATACTCCCCAGCTCCACTCCCAAAGAGTCCCCTGCCACCCCGTGCTGCTGCCTCTGTATCAGAAGCAGCAGCATGGGATGGCCAGCGGAGCTGGTCCATGAGAGGAATGGGTTTAAAAATTTGTTCCCTGTGCAGACTGGCTCCTGCCTGACGCCCCATGCTGCTGCTGCTGCCTCTGATACAGCCTCCATGGAGCAGCCTCTGTCCACAGCAAGCCCAGGCCCATCACAGACAGAGGCTACTCCACAGCAGCAGTCCCTGTTCGGGGGAGGAGGGGGCACTGAGCTCCCCATGGACAGAAGCTGCTCGTGCCTGCTTCCCCACTCCCGCGATGCTACCTCTGATACAGTGTGGGGCCCTCCATAGACCCGGTGTTCATAGAGAGCCAGCTTTTAATTATTTAAATGCCTATATGCTAACATCCCTAACTTTAATTTAAATTACATTCACATGAATGGATAACCAGTAAACATCACCCTTAACAGATGAGACTTACAGATTACAGTTAACCAGTAGGGACTGAAGCACCAGCAGAACCCACAGCCCACCTTCCCACACTGCTGCCTCTGTGGGAGGCCTTGGGGGAGGAGGGACGCGGCTCCACAGGAGCCAGCACACATGGAAAGACAGCTTGAAAGCTGGTTTCCTATGTGTACTGGTTCCAACCTGGCCATGGGGTGACGAGGGGAGGAAGAAGGCAGCTCTGTGGGAGCTTGCATCCACCTCCTCACCACTTGCTGCCTCTATATCAGAGGTAGTAAGGTGTGTGTGTAACAGTTAGGATTAACCAATAAGCCTGAGCTTATCAGTTAATTATGTAAATGATTACATGCTAACATCCTTACAAGTATCATAATTAGAACCCTACTGGCCCAGTTTAGTCAATTTCAGTCATATGATTTTAAAATTCATAAAATTACATTATTTCAGCTAATTAAATCTGAAATGTTAATGTGTTGTAATTGTAGGGGTCTTGACCCATAAAAGATCTTTGGGAGGGTCACAAGGTTGTGGAGGAGGGGGTTGCGATACTGCTACCATTACTTCTGTGCTGCTGCTGGAGGTGGTGCTGCCTTCAGAGTTAGAGAGCCATCAGCAGCAGCAAAACAAAAGTAAGGATCACATGATGTGGTATTGCCACCTTTACTTCACTTCAGTTATTCTAATGGAGCAGTGCCTTCAAAACTGGGTACCCGGATAACAGTCACCACTCTCTGGCTGCCCAGCTCTGAAGGCAGTGTAGAAGGGTGGCAATGCCACAACTCCCCTAAAATATACTTATAAATGCCCTGCAATTCCCTTATGGGTCAAGATCCATGATTTGAGAAACACTGATCTCCCCATATAATCTATAGAGTATAGGGCAGGGGAAGTCAATAGGTAGATCATGGGTCAAATCCCAACTGCCAGATGCTTTTGATCAAACCCTGAAATCTTTTTATTCACTTAATAAAATAACAGAAATTATAATATGTTGTTCTCTGGAGCCTGGATCTTGACAAAATAATAGCTGATTACCCTGGTATAGGGTAAAAGCACAAAAAAGACCAGAATTCATGAGGGGAGATCAGATTTCCCAGTCCATGACCCATTTTTCACGGGTGTGAATTTGGTAGGGCCTGCATCATAATAGTTAATTTGGTGAGAATCTGATTTTAAAAATTAAGATGGAGCCTTTTGTAGACACAATAGCATAAAGTTAAAAGGCACATGAGGTTTTATGTTGAGTATTCTAAGTTTTATCACAACTTTAACAAATGGAATTTTTTATAATGAAATACACTGAAAATGAAAGACTCGTAAGTTTGTTCTTATACACTTGTCTCTTATTGCTTGTTGAAATCTTCCTTGTCCCTGCATTCTCAGGTACAGAAGGAATACAAAGACGCTCTAGCAGATGGATAGGCAATCATTTTTGATAGGGCCACTCCAAGAATTTGGAAAGTGGTCGAGGGCTGCACTCTTCCATGATATTAATGGAAGAGGTGCAAGGTCTGGGATGGAGGTTGAGTGCAGAAGGGAGCTTGGGGTAAGGGAGAGAGTTTGGGTGGAGGTGGCAGGTGTGACCTGGGGTACTGGACTGGTATGGAGGGGGTGGATTGTGACCTAGGACAGGGAATTGGGGTACAGGAGGGGGTGCAGGGATTTGGGTTGTGAGCTAGGGCAGGAGGGGACTGTGATCTGGGGCAGGAGATTGGGGTGCCAGATCTGGAAGGGTATATGGATACAGGAGGGGAGCAGAGGATTTGGGCATGCGGAGTAGGGGGCAGGAATGGTGGGCAGAGAGTTAGGGAAGGGAGGGACTTGGGTAGGCTTATTTGCCAGGAGATTTACCAGCCAACAGCAGTTTCTGAATCAGTTTCCATGCCTGCCCCACCGTTGCCCAGGCTGCAGCCATGTGCTCTGGAGCCCCTTGTGCTTCATGGCTGCCTGTTATTGAAACAGGCAAGAAACCGGTCAATGGGATTGTGCTGGGGACAGAAACAGCTCCTAAAGCTTTTCCCTCTCCTCCGGATTCATAGTTTTTAAAGAAAAATTGCCCCACAGCTGCATTTCTGAGCAGCGTGGAGTGGGGCGAGGCAAGTGGGGACGCTGCCTGGGACTCCCCGCAGCGTCCACAGGCTGGAACCGGTGGCTTGACAGGCAAATATGGCCCACGGGCTATATTTTGCCCATGCCTGCTCTAGCAGATGGTAGTCTATTTTTTGTCAGGGTCAAAATTTCTTTGTCAACGCATAATCAAGGCCCAGATTCCAGATAAACATTCACACCACAATAATAATCAGTAAATAAAAAGATTTTGCAGACTGTTCAGATGCATCTGGTAGCCCCCACTTCACCTACTGACTACTTCCGTACTACAGCATGTAACCACTTAATATAAAGTATGTCTGACTTCCTTGCCTAGATATATTTAAAGCCATGTTACTTGCCAGACTGCATCATATGTGCAAGTATCACCACTTGTCACAAAATGAGTTGGCTGGAAAAACTACACAGCTTACTCAGGACAACTGGTTGATTAAAGATAAGCAAGAACATGCCTTTCAGAAATGTGGTACTTGTACATAAAACAATGATGAGTAAACAAGAAGATTATGGGCTAAGAAACTAACCCATCCCGCTTGTATTCCAGTTTGAACAATGCTATTATGCCCCCATGCTTTATCTCCCTGGAAACACACTGGGTAGGAAAGGGAATGGTTGGGTGTCTCTACAGTCAGTCTGTTGCACACCACCACACCCAGGATTCCTGACATAATCCCAAAGCAGCTGATCTTGCAGCCACATCATACAGGAAAATCCTTGGCACGTCTCACTTCACGTTTTAAATATGACACAAATCCAAGGGAAACATAAGAACAAAAAAGCACATTCAAAATAGCTTAATGTTAACAACAACATAACAAAACTGAATCAACTGACAACAAATATGTCAGAATGAAGGTCCATCCAAAAATCAAAGCCAGTTTAAATAGACTCTGAAGCATACAATATGGGTAGCAAGCTAGTCAGATGGATTCTGAACACTGCCTCACCTTCCTCTTGTCCAATGGGGGTATGGCTACCCCATTGGATCGGTTAAGGTCTGACACCAGCACCTTCAGAATGTTCTGAATCTAAAGGAGGTGAAAGAAAAGGGGAAAAGAGAAATGGCTCAGAAAAGGACAGAGTGAAAATATTGATCAAAGGGTTGCTGTAGCCAAAGAAATTCACATTAACTATCTCTTTACCAAAATAAGTCTCAATATATCAACACTGGCCATTTCCAGCATATGCTCTTAAGGCCACATATTGGTATGCATTACCAGACTCCATCATGCAATATCAAGTAATTTCTGTTCTAAACACTAGCACTATGCTCTCCTTCACATACTACATTGTCAAAATTATCCCTCAGCTGCAGAAACAAAGCTGGTAGAACTAGACAGAAAAGAGACAATCAATCTGGAGTAAGGAAAGAATCTACTCACATTCTCTGGAGACTTTTTGTCATCATTTGTTGGAGTCTCAGGTCTACTTCCATCTTTACTTTTTCGTTTCTTCTTGGCTGATGCTGTTGCTCCAGGGCTATTCTTCTGCTGATATTCCTTCAACTGAGAAAAAGGAGGAAAAACCTGAAATCTTAACTGATTAAAACTTACATGTCTCTGATGTCAAAACATAGGGCCATAGGATAACAGTCAAAGTAAGTATTAATATAAGAGAAACTATACATCTCAGAGGGAGTTCATAGAAATGTAAAAAGATTACAGGACTAGAAGCACTGGATGAAAGTCTAAAATATATGAGTAAACACAGCTTGCCTACACAACAATGAAAGGGTTCAGAGAGAAGAATGTGATAACCATCTACAAATTTCTGATGGCTCTGAACAAGGATGAAGAGATATAATTTAGAGAGGTATTAAAACTATGACTAATGGTAATGGGCAGTGCTCTGCGTGGATACAAAATTTGTATCTGCATCAAAAAATAAGCCAAGGATATCCATATCCATATCTGCAGATGTGGATACCTGCAGATATAAAACAGATATTTGCAGATTTGCAGGGTTTTAGAAATGGGTTGAAATTAAGAAACGGATCATTTAACCTGAATATCAGGATGGGGGAAGAGAAAACCAAATAGTGACATTTAATAGCTTGTGTAACAGGCTCCCAAAAAGAGGTGATGAAGGTCTCAGAGATAACTTGCTTGAACAAGTATTGGAGAGAATAATCCTGTATTGAACAGTAGGATGAACAACAATGTTGTTTGTATCCATGGCCCTTTCTACAAAGGACTTAAAATAGCAGTTATTAATTGGATTTTAAAAGATCATATTCTAGCTTTGCTCTACAAAATCCATCTTTAACATGATTCGATGTGACACTTACTGGGTGGCCATTTGTTGTTAAAAGCCAGGTCACAAACTGAATGTCAACCATCCTTAAGCATTGCTGAGGCAAGTGGATGAAAACAATATATAAATAGAACCTATATCTGATACTTCACAGGAACAAGAGAACAGTATAAGACTTTAAAGACTTCTGTCTGAAATACATGTTTATAAAAATACATGCCTAACTGCTGAAATTTTGAGCAGTTACACATTTACAGGCTGGAGGGGAGGCGGGAGCTTGTAGGGAGTACTGTCCCGTCCCCGTCCCCCTGGGGGAGGAGAGGCAGCTCCATGGGAGCAAGCTCCCCCCACGCTACTGCAAGTGGGAGCAGGCTTAAAAACCGGTTCCCCCCTGCACCAGCTCTTGGTTCCCACCTCTCCCCCTCCCTTCAGCTGCTGCCCAGGCTCACTGGTTAACTGTACATGAGTACACATTCACATCCCTAGTCTGAAATGGAATAAATCCAGCCTGAGTAATCGTAGAATAATATAATTTGAAGGCGCTTCAAGAGATCATTAAATTCAGTTCCCTGCACTCATGGCAGGACCGAGCACCATCTAGACTATCCCTGACAGGTGTTTGTCTAACCTGCTCTTAAATATTCCACAACCTCTATAAGCAATTTATGCTAGGGCTTAACCACCCTGACAGTTCAGGAAGTTTTTCCTAATGTCCAACTTAAACCTTCTATGCTGCAATTGAAGCCCACTGCTTCTTGTCTTACCAGGAGTTAAGGAGAATATTTCCCCCCTCTTCTCTGTAACAACCTTCTAGATGCTGGAAAGCTGCTATGTCCCCTGTCAGTCTTCTCTTTTCCAGACTAAACAAATCCAGTCCTTTTAATCTTCCCTTATAAGTCATATTTTCTAAATCTTTAATCATTTGTGTTGCTCTTCTCTGGACATTCTCCAATATGTCCACCTTTCCTAAAATGTGACCTCCAGGAATGGACACAATAGTTCAGTTGGGGCCTAATCAGTGCAGAGTAGAGTGGGAGTATTTTTTCTTATGTCTTGCTTACTACACCCCTGTTAATACATTCCAGAATTATGTTTGTTTTTGTAACAGTATCACACAGCTGACTCTCATTTAGCTTGTGGTCCACTAAAACCTCCAGATCCCTTTCCATGGTACTCCTTCCTAAGCAGTCATTTCCCATTTTGTATGTGTGCAACTAATTGTTCCTTCCTAAGTGGAGTACTTTGCATTTGTCCTTGGTGAATAATTGCTCCCATACCTGGAGAATAATGATAATCAACAGCAATATGTAGACTACCACTTTCACACCAAGTACCTATAATTTATTCATATAATGTTCTCTTCAGACAAAATATCCCTGGTCACTCTGGCAAGGCTAGGTTCCAGGGTCTGTAAGAACACCACTTTGATTCTAGTATGGATAGAGCATTATTTACATTATAAGTTTAAGCCATTACCTAAAAGGCATATTTCAAAATGGAAGGCAGAGCTATTCCAGGACAATGACCCATTTGCTTGACTTCAACACACAGATGCATCCCACTGTGACAGATCAGCAATAAATTGTGTTTGTAATGATTGCATCAATAAAAGAGAGCAAACCAACAGTGAACTCAGGCCATACTGTATCTTAACAAGCCCAATTTTGTCTGGGTTTCTGAACATATGCTCTAAAACCATATTTGCCTTACAGGATTTACAGTGAAGGTGTTACTGCTAGACAAATACCTCTGAAATGTTAGCACACCTGAAGAGGCTTAAGGAGGGCCCCAAAGCACTCAACCCTCTGGAGGCATCAGCTCCCCGTGGTTCTGGGCAGGTTGCGAATGAAGGGGGGGGGGGGCGAGCCCTATGGCCAAGATCACACAAGATCCTACCTTCCTCACGGCATCACACAAACAAACCTGCTACAAGCCCGTTAGCCCGGCCCACCCAGCACGGACCTGCGAGCACCGGGTAACTCCACTGCTACTGCGGGGACTCTGCCCGGGCGCAGGGCTCGCACCAGCTCCCCCGCGCACGGCGCAGCGCTCAGACTAGAGGGTGGCAGAGTGCGGGGCGGGCAGGCCTGGGCCCGACAGAGCTAAAGGGGGCCGCCGCCGCTTCCTTCGGAGAGACCCGGGGGATCCCTTCCAGGACAGGCCTCCGGCCGGGGCCTTCTTTTCCCTGCGGAACGGGCGGGGGCACTCGAGGAGGGCCGTGGGGGAGCTGGGGCCTGCTGGCCCTTACAGGCCGCGGGGACAGACAGTAGCTAGGCCGCTCCCCCGACCGAGTGGGGGGCAGACTGGCTGGGGACCCACAAGCTGGGCCGCCGCCGTCGCCTCCTCCTTCCGTTGCAGCTGGGCGGGGGAGCCCGGGGTCTCCCTCACAGGCCTGCGGGGGGAAGGGTCTGTGCCGCCGGGCCTGCCCCCCCCACTCCCGGATCGTTACCTTCTTCTTGGCCGCGGCCAGTTTGATCTGCCTGCTGCCGTCCGCCATGTCCGAGCCGGGACCGAGCCACGTCAGCCCGGTAGGGCTGGGAAGAGCCAGGGAGACTCCGCCCGCCCGACCCCACGCGGGCCGGAGGGAGGTTGGCTGCGCCCTGCTGCGCGTGCCCCGCTAAGGCGGGCGTCTGTTCCTGCCTTCCCGTCAGAATTGCCCCGCCCCTGCCCCTTCCACCCAGGGCTTAGACATTCCCAGTGCCAGCTGCCTTGTCTCACCATCTCCTCGAGCACCTAGCCCCCCTCTTGCCCCCCACCCCTCCAGCATTGACAGCTCCTCTTCCTCCCCCAATGTGTCCTAGCATCCGCCTTGTCCCCCATTGGATGCTCACTGCCCTTCCAGCATTGCTACATCTCCCTGCCCCACTGCTCCCCCTGCTGTCCCACACTGCATCAGTGGACCTCCCCTTGTCACCCACCCTCACTCCCTCAGCATTCTCTCCTTACTCGCCTGTGCCCTATGGGTGCTGAAATGCACATGTGACTGGAGCTTTGGGGCCTGAGTGGGCAGAAGGGAAAGGTTTTTTCCTCACACATTACCAGTGTGGACTCACAACCTTAACTCCTGCTAACCAGCTTTCTAGGATTACAAACCGGGAAGAGGATGATGGTGTGTTCTCTCTTCCATGGGCAGACTGCTCTCCAGATATTGGCCATCCCATGATTTCAAATAGGTTCCTCAAAGCTTTGATTAGAAACGTAGCTGAGCATCCCAGGCTCTTTTAGGTAAGCCCCCAAAGTTTCGTTTTATTTTTCTCTCCAAGACCTTGTTTATACTGGAGAAGTTTGCCGTGGTTACCTCTGGTCCCTCTAGAAAGCCCATCACACATTTCGTTCCACACATAAACACAGTCTCAAAGGGGAGCAGGTGATCATGCCACTGTGTGGCTTAGATTTGCATTCTGCAGAACTAATTACCATGAAAGTTGGTGATGTGTTGATGCCAGTATGGGCAGAGACTACCAGTAGTGCAAATATCCTCCCACCATGATTCTGCGATACTTTCATGTTTATCTAGGCCTATCAAATCTGTCTAGGTTTTAATACTGTATAATGCTCACCATTGTCCTACCTCTGGAATTCATGTCTCATTAAGCTTATTACTTTTTCTGGTCTTCAACATGAGACTAAAATTCATGCACCTTCCCACTTTTGCTCATTTTCTTTAAAGAGAGCAACATATGCCCACATATGGCACATTGGATCAGACCATTGAGTCTAATATACTGCCTCCTCTAATATAACTTATTTACCTGTTGCTGATTTGGGATATGAACATATTACCACCTATACTCAAGGGAGCTGTTAAGATAGGGGAGATATAGACAAAAATCTCATTCTACCCTGTATGCATCTTTTCCCAAAAGAGGAGATACGTAGAGCCATGCAAATCTGCAGATACCTGCTTTATATCTATGGCCATTTTTGCAAATGTGGATGCAGATACAAATTTTGTATCTAGAACCTTACACGGATAGACGCTTTATATCCATGGCTATCTGCATCCACAAATGTGGATGCAAATAGCCACAGCTCATTTTTGCGGATATGGATACAAATTTTGTATCCTTGCAGGGCTCTAGAGATATAGTCCTTTTACTTGGCCATCCACCTGCTCCATTAAGCTACGGATAGGGATATATGACTATAAAGCATCCTAAGGAGAGGAATGTAGGTGAAACTGCTGACCAATTGGATGTGGTTCAGATTTTCAAGTGCTGTGAAATGTTACCCATTTTTAACCCATTTTCTACTTTTTATCACTTGCTTTTTTTTTATGTCATGTATTATAAACATTTAACCCACATTTTGTCCATTTGGGATTTTAAGAGGAATGTCAATAGGGCTATACTTGGATAGGAGATTTCAAAGAAATATTCAAGGGCTCCAAGAATTGGTACTAGCATTGTTTCCAGGTGTTGTCTTTTCTTCTAAGTCACTACTGAACCAAATTAGGCCTGGTGTGTGTGTAGGAAGTGGTAATGAGAGCAGTGCACTCTTTTCCCTCTGAGCTAGTATTGAGACATTTCCCCAACAAGACCGTTAAGAGATGTTGTGTTTAAAGCAATAATTTTGGCTTGAATGTAAAATGAAGGTTCTGCCTACTTGAGAACTTTAGAACTCCTGTGGCACTTTTTGTAAGAGTTGGGATATTAGTATAGATGTCCAAGCCAAATTACAATTATTTGGTTAATTGTGATTATATTCTGCCCCACCTAAAACTCCACCTTGCTGTTTCAAATGGAAAAATATATTTTCGTATTCTTAATTGTTGGGGAATGTTGTTATGTGCTATTAAACAGCTGTTGCATTTACCCCATAAAATGGGGTAGGTAAAATGTTTGATGTGTGTAGTTCATACACCAATTCTTCATAAAGTACTCTGCTACCCTTCTGGGAAAGTCATTCTATAAGAATATATTGTTAAGAATATATATTTTCTAATAACTCATTTTGAGAACTAAGAACTGAGATTTTCTAAGCCTTGAGAAAATTAATCATGGAATAGGAATGACAGCACATATGTAGATTTTTTTTCCAAATTACTTGAGAAACCTGGCAAATTGTGTATTGGTCTCTAACAGGTTTTGCTTGTGGGCTGTAAAGATTTATTAATTTCTTTATAAATCATTTGGAAGATGGTGGTGAGTGCTACATAAGTGTTTATTATTAGTAGTAACATCAAGTATTCAAAGACCTTAAGAGCAAGGATAAAAGTTTGACACAAAGATTTCAAGTGTTATGAAAAATGCTTGATAAATAGGCTATTTTACTACTACCATGTGATTCTCCATTGTCTGCATTCATGGCTATGCCAACACAAAAAGGAAGACAGCAATTTCATGTACCCTAACAATGTTTACTCTTTACAGATCACATGACTTTGGAGAATTAATGGAAATCGTAGAATACACTGTGAAATGAGCAGTGTGTACAGAGTACTATAAGAAGTCCCTTCAACATAACCTTGAGTATATTTTTCCTAGTGTGTAGGTTTCAAAAGTGGTTTGTAATAGTAGCAGGTTGTTCTTGTAGCTTGTACTGTTGAAACTTTAATTCTTATTATTTATCTTGTGTGGCTCTGACCACAGTTTCTGCACTTAATAAACAAATATTACTCAAGTTGCTAATTAATGCTAGGTCTAAGAAACTAAGGCTCAGTCAGGGAAAGTGACTTGTCTAAGATTATATAACAAGTTAGTAGCAGAGCTAGGAATAGAACCCACCTTCCCAACTAGTCCCCATCTTTAGCTCTAACAATTTTTAACAAACAAATACATTTATCAGTGATAAAAAAAAAGAATAAAGTTGTGGTGCAGTGTCAAAATGTTCACAAATAATAGAAGAAATATTTTGATAGCCTGTATTCCAGGGTTAGGTAAAATCTTCAGAAACTCAAATCCCCAGCATGCAGTGTAATGTTTAAACATTTGTAGACTACAAATCCCAGCAAGCAGTGCACTTGTAAAGTCCTTAGAGACTACAAATCCCAACATGCAGTGTGGGAGAGACGGCCAATCCCTGCGCTGATACTACAGTACCCAGGATGCAAAGTGGTAACGCGGCCTTTGTTGATTTCAGATCTTCTGTTCCCCAGGCAGCACTGGATAACCATGAGCAGGGACCCCCAGTTTGCGGGGAGAGGGTGCAAAGCCCAGGTCTGCAAGGGAGGAGTGGTCCGTTACCTAGGCCTTTCCTGAGGAGGTAAGAGCAAAGTCAATGTAACTTCCCATAACTGTCTTCAAGGGATGTATCCCCCTCCTTAGTTCTTAGGGTGCTCTCCTAGTGGCATTGGATCCTTCCTCCCTCCTGCTTTTAAGGGGCTGTGACTTCCCTTCTGATCATCTCATATAGAGCCTGTTATAGGAATGGGACTTTACTTTTCCAGCCCCTGAAGGTGCTCTCACCACCTACAGTGAGGGACCCACACTTTCCCCAGCCATACGAGTGAGGCTGAGAACTTCCTGTCTTGAAGTGCAGCTGCCTGAGGATCCTTAGCGGAATAACGAGCTGCTCTTCTTGCTTCCCAAGGGACTTTGTGGGATAAGGATGTTAAGAAGCAGGTAATTGGCTAATTTTGTAGTCTGCAATTTGTATTGTCTTCACAATTAGTCGATAAGTGAAGGTGCTTAGTCCCAGCTCGCTCTGGGTGCAGGAACTACCCCTGCTGCGGCTCTGCAGTTTAAATGTAGTAGGAGCCGGGCACACAGGTAGCCTGACTCCTACGACATTTAAACTGCAGAGCTGGAGCCGGGGGTAGCTCCTGGAGCCAGTGTGAGCTGGAACTGAGCAGTCTCGGCTCACGCCAGCTCCGGGACCACTATGGCTCTGCCTCCTCTCCCCTCCCCATGCATCGCGGAGATAGTGCTGGGGGGAATCGGATTTTAAGCTGGCTCCCCCCCCTGCTGCCTCTGTATCAGAGGCAGCAGGGAAGGGGAGAAGCGAGTAGTCACTTGACTATCTGATAAGCCTAGGCTTATTGGATAGTTGACTACTCGGCTAGTCGCTTACACCCCTATTGTGGGACTGACTTTCCTAAACCTTTGGGAGCATCTGGGATGCTCCTAATTGCTAAGCCCAGGGCACATAACAGCTTACATTATCAGAGATATTGGATCTTCATTGATACCTTGCTGTGTGTAGAATTATCAAGCTATGCTCATGCCTTTTAAAATTTTTTTTTTTTTTTTTTTTTTTTTTTTAATACAGGACACCCACTGGAATCCTGAGAAATTGCAATGCACGTTTCAAATCTCCAGTAAGTGTTTCTATACATCTCTCCTCCCCTTTGGGAAGAGAATGGTTTTCCCTCCAAAATCAGTGCTGCCCTGGACTACAGCTAGACGGTGTTGTAGATTGCTTCCCTTCTTGTCCAGGGAGCAGTGTTGCAGTCGGGTACTCTTACTTGCTCTTTTGCTCTCTCTCTCTTCTAGGGAATAACAGCAGCTATAGCAGTTGATTACATGGATCAGCTTTGTTTCATGCTAAATATGGTGGTGAACAGAGTAGCATTTAGATGTTCTGCCAGTTACTGTGTAAATACAGGACAGTGATATCTTTCATCTTCAATATGTGTATTCCTCCTGGTATACAGACAGAAACTAAACTTCACATAATCTGTTATTGCCATATGAATGTAGTGTGTCACTCTGTCATGTTGAGCTATCGGTACTCAGGTTGAGTATTCAGAGAGCAGGCATAGCTAAGGTAGCAGCAGAGCAAGATCCCTGAGAACTATTATGTTTAAGAGTATGTCTATACTGTAGAGAAATTGTGTGTATCCCTGGGGGAATACAAAGGTTTTACTGGGGGTATATCCACTCATCTCAGTATTTGCCCAGTTTTACAACAGGCTATGTGAAAAACACTATCAAAGTCAATGCAAACTAAAATTTCATACAGACAAAATGAGAAAACAGTTTTTCAATAATGGAGTATTGTGATACCTTTGCTTACAAAATCTGAATACAAGTAGTGATAGAAATGTAGCCGTGTTAGTCTGGTGTAGCTGAAACAAAATACAGGACTATGTAGCACTTTAAAGACTAACAAGATGGTTTATTAGGTGATGAGCTTTCGTGGGCCAGACCCACTTCCATGAGACTATACCAGTAAACAAAGATGTTAAATAAATAAGCACATCTAAAAAGGTAGCACTACTTCATTAATAGTGAATGGTAAAGAAAGCTCATCACCTAATAAACCATCTTGTTAGTCTTTAAAGTGCTACATAGTCCTGTATTTTGTTTGAATACAAGTAATTTTTAAGTGAGGTGAAGATTGGGGGTATGCAAGATAAATCTGACTGCTAAAAGGGATATAGTAGTTGGGAAAGGCTGAGAATCTCTGCTGTAAGGCATGCCCATAATCCAAGCTCCAGATCTTAAAAACCCATGCTTACCAGGTCCACCTGCTAGTATCCACACTGTAGAGCTATACCTAGTCCATACCCATGTAGCCAAGTCCACGCTGGCACTGCAGTGTCACATATAGTGTTAGGATATCTGAGAGTAGGTTTACATGTATCCTGGAGAGATGACTTCAAGTGAAAAGGATAGCTTAGTTTTCATGGCTTATTTAATCTTTTTGCTTTTAGCTGAACCAGTGGTTGATCCTAATATTTATGGTGGTTCAGCAATATGTATTATCTCCGGGGAAAAATATTGCAGGTTCTCTTAGTGCTAGAGCACAACTGTCATTCAAACAATAGGAGTGCTGTTCCTGAGTTCTTATACAATCCAAACTACTCAACAGGCACATACATTTTTGGAATTGGATACTGGCTTTCTGAGAGTTTATTTTTAAAAGAAAATAACCAGGACTATGTAGCACTTTAAAGACTAACAAGATGGTTTATTAGGTGATGAGCTTTCGTGGGCCAGACCCACTTCCTCAGATCAAATAGTGGAAGAAAATTGTCACAACATGGCTACATTTCTATCACTATTTTTAAAAGGTTTACAAAGTAAAATACATCTTCTACTTGGAAGAACTCACAAACTACATGGCAGTGACTGGTACTGAATAGTGTGATAAGTTAGTCCTTCACAGTGAAAATCCAAGTGAGTAAACTAGTTTTCCTTTTCACCTAAATGATACTTCAGGAATAAACAGATACTTAATATCTCTTCTGATCAGTTCCCTCTGGGACACTGTCATGTCATACAGTGCTGAATTAGCGGAATGTTAAAAGCATTCTCTGCTCTACAGATCCAGTCTCCAAGGTCCAGTCAGTCAGATGGAGTCAATAAAGAAGACTTACTGCGTGAAATTGAAGAACTGAAACAGAAGGATCTTGATCTGGATCGGGAAATTGCACCATTTTTGGCCGAGTATGTTCTTTGATAGTTTTAAGTTTAGCTTGAGGCTTGGGGTTTTTTTTTTTTTTTTTTTTAAACAAAACAAAGTCCAAGTGACAGTGTTGGAAACTGCCCCTACTTGTTGGTGATGCTGATACTGCATTATGACAAAAAATCTGTTTGGTTAGGAATAGTGTTAATTTCAGCATTGTTTCAACTACAAAACTGAACCAAGTCTCTCTGTCTTTTGTTTTGTTTTTTTGCAAAGCAAGGCTGGATTTAATCAGTACTTGGATTGGAGATGTTTAAGGGAAACCTGGGTTGCACAATTGTGATTCTAGTAGGCAGTGCTGTTCCACATGGGTACTGTGTTTCTAGAAGTATTGTCATTCAGATGAGATGTAAAACTAAGATCCCTGGTTGTGGTCAAGTTGTAATTTAATCCAAAATGAGTCTGCCTTCTTAAATTCCCATTTAAGTTTCACCTGGAAGTATTAATTTCTTGCCTTATGCTTGATGTGAGCTGTCTTAACATCAGCTCTCATCTTACATCCCAGGAACAGCTGTATTTCTATGGTAGGCAAGTTTTCTGTAAAACATATTGGAATGAATGGTGCTATATAAAAGATATTGAAGCCCTCCTTATGATGGCGTTATCCTAGGTTTTGCCTAGCAGCAGGATTCTTGAGGATGGGCTGCAGTTTGACTTTTGGTGGGTTATAAACTATGAAAGCAGAATGCTGTCTTCTACAGATAACACATAGGCTGTGTCTAAACTGGTACCCTTTTCCGGAAATGCTTAAAATGGAACAGTTTTCCATTATAAGTATTTCCGGAAAAGCGCGTCTACATTGGCAGGATGCTTTTCCGGAAAAGCACTTTTTCCGGAAAAGCGTCTGTGGCCAATGTAGACGCACTTTTCCGGAAAAAAGCCCCGATCGTCATTTTCGCGATCGGGGCTTTTTTGCGGAAAAGACTACTGTGCTGTCTACACTGGCCCTTTTCCAGAATAGTTTTTCCAGAAAAGGACTTTTGCCCGAACGGGAGCAGCATAGTTTTTCCGGAAAAGCACTGACAATTTTACAGTAGATCATCATTGCTTTTCCGGAAAAGCAAGTGGCCAGTGTAGACAGCTTTCAAGTTATTCCGGAAAAGCAGCTGCTTTTCCGGAATAAGTGGCCCAGTGTCTACACACAGCCACAGAGTGCAGCTGCACTGCACCCATAGCTCGAAATAAGGTATGCAATTTGAGCTACGCAAATTGTGTAGCTTATTTTGAAAATTTGGTGCCGTCTACACAGCACTTATTTAGAAATAAATCGCTATTCCGAAATGTCTCTTACTCCTTGTGGAATGAAGTTTACAGGGACATCGGAATAGCAAGCTCGTTATATTTTGAAATAATGGGCACGCTCAAAAGACATGGAATAGCTATTTTGGGTTACCTCCGGTATCTCAAAATAGTGCCTCAATGTTGACGTAGTCATAGTGCATAGGATTAGACAGGTACAAATAAAAGGAACAATGAAGTTGATTCAAAGTTTTGCTATTTCCTGTCAGATAAGCAGCCTAATTCCTTAACTCTTTCTTTTGCCAACCAATCAGACCTATTCTTTTTATTTGTCGCGAGATTTCTTATTTTTCTTTATGCCCAGTGCTGAGTACTATTTTTAGCTTTATTTTGTTGTGGAAAGATTGCTCTTCCATTCAGCCTTCCCATCAATAGTTTTTAAAGACTCAGGTCTTACCTTCAGAGTTCTGTAGGTAGCAGGGCAGGTTGTGTGGTTTTGGCAGGTTCTGGTATCCCTCACAAGTATCTTATCATTACTAAAAAAATGTGACAAATCAGCAGTACTTGCTCTGTGTCACTGTGATCTTTCTGGGTTTGCTGTTACAGAGGTTACAGCCTGGAGGAACTGGAGAAACACATCTCTCTGCTCCATGAGTACAATGATATTAAAGACACTGGACAGATGTTGCTGGGCAAGCTGGGTAAGAAGGGAAAGACTAATATGAAACTTTCCTTAGTAAATGTTTCCATCTGTCCTTGGGTCCTCGGGCTTATCTTCAAAATTCTCCAGTTTTAGAAATCTCTCATTAAAGCCCCATCTTCAAATACAAATACATCTCAAGCCCATAGGGATCTTCCCAACAGAATAGCAGAACTACAGAGGGTTAGGCAGGGTGTCTTCCTGATCCTCTGAGTGGGATGTGGCAATGTCACATGACAACTGCTAATGTTTTTCTGTGGCGTATCAAAGATGATCCTTCTGTAACTGATAAATAGTCTGTAGTGTTGTGTTTTCTGCACTAAAAAAGACTTGGGAAATAATCCAGCAGTTAGGAGTGAAGTGGGGTGAGCTCTAAGATAACTAAGGTTAGAGAGAGTCAAGTCTTTCCTACTTACTAACCTGAGTCATAACAACCATGCAGCTAGCCAAAACTCTTGCTAACTAATCTACTGTTCTCTTTGTAATGGAACCTGTGGTATTTATTCCTTTCTAGCCATGATTAGAGGGGTCACCACAAAGGAGCTGTACCCCCAATTTGACCTGGAACTTACGGACTAGCACTGAAACTGAAAACTACAATCTCCTGCAGAGATCACCGTTACTGGGACGCTGTATGTTGGTACCATACATCTTGAGAACTTACAGACAAAGATTGTAAAAATGCAAAGACTTTCATGGAAGCATTTTTACTTGGCTGCTTCATTTTTAAGAGTATCTAACTTGTAGATTGAAAAGCTGTTGAATTTATCACCTGTCCCCCTCTTTAGCAATGGGGAGGCTTGAAGTGTCTTGAGTGTTAGGCTCCTCGTACTGTTCATTTTATTTAACTTAAAGGTTATAATTCAGAATTTAATTAATCTCCTCAGTGTTGCACGATGTGATGGGTGATCTTTGACAAGTCTTACATGGGAAAGCAATTGTTAAGTATCATTCAATTGATGGAGGAGGGGGCAGAAATGGAGATGGGAGAATATGCAGAGCTGTGGGCTTTTTTTTGTTTTGCTAAAAACCTCAGCAGGATAAAAGGAAACCTGCTAAGAAGCAAGGTATTTTTATGCTCATGCTGAAAAAGTTGTGGATGCACGTTATCTTAGTACCCTACTGAATTCAGTTCTAGAAGCTGGTTGAGGCTGCATATCTATAGTTGTAAATAAATGGAAAAACATTAACTTGTGTTGCTGAATTGTACACTCTGAATAAATGATTAACTTTTATGAAATCAAAGGACTGGAAGAGACTTTAAGTGGTCATGTAGCACAGTCCTCTGCACTTATGTTTCTTAGCAATTCACTCTGATAGCCTTTCTGTGGGCTAAGAAAAACAGAACATAACTGTACTCTCAGGCTATAGATGTAATAGCGTAGTCCAGGGGTGGCCAACCCACTCTGGGCAAAGAGCCAAGATAGCAGTGGATCCAGCCTGAAGAGCCAGGGCAAAGTTGTCAAACAAAAACAACAACAAAAGGACAGCATCTTTTACCACTTTAAGAGGAGCCCCCGGTCATGCAAAAAAAAAAATCTCTGCCCCTTTAAGAAAATGCTTTTAAACATGTTTTGAGGCTTTTTGGCTACAGGTGGCTCCCGCTGCCATCTTTAATGGCGGCACTGGACGGCTCCCCTACCTAGGTCAGTGCCAGGAGGTGTGTGTGTGTGTGGGGGGGGGGGGGGGGGGGGGAGAGCTGCATGTAGCTCATGAGCCTTAGGTTGGCCACGGCTGGTGTAATCAATTAACAGATTAACCAATAAACAAAAGCTTCTAGATTAATGCTATAGACTACATGCATTTCCCTCCGTTCTCCCCCCCCCCCCCCCAGTAAGTTTTAGCAGGCTGGCCAGCAGCCTGGCTTATTTCTGGATCATGCCAGGTCTGAGACCTATCCCTGCTGCGGCTCTGCATTTAAAGTGTATTAGGCCCAACTCAGTTCCAGTTTGCACCAGGTCCGGGAGCTCAGACTCACCCTCCGCAGACAGGGGCTGCTGCCACCCCACACTGCTGCCTCTTTATGAGAGGCAGCAGCACAGGGCAACAAGCAGCTGGTCCACAAGAAGAGCTGCTTTTTAAACTGGCTTCACTGGCAGACTAGCTCCTGTCTGGCACCCCGCACTGCTGCTGGCCCCGCTCCCAGGCACTACAGAATAGTCGACTAACTGATAAGAATTCATGAGACTAACCGATATTTAACATCCCTATCTCAGACTACTTTTTTCTGTGTGCCATTATAATTTCAGCTCGGAACTCCTCTTCAAGCACTTCAATCAGTGAGGCATCACTGTTGATGGTTGCATATCAGAATGATCAGTTACCTCTCCTTCATTTCCAGATATTGACTCAAAGAGATCAGTAATATACTGAGGAGCTTGCTTAACCTGTATTCAGCATTAGTCACAGAAGCCAAAACATACTTCACTTCTCACATAATAGAGAAGCTGCTGGCATCAAAAGAATGATAGTTATGGCTGTAGAATTAAGGTAGTTTCCCTAGGAGCATTTTAGGGATTGACACTTGTATTTATTATATAGGGCACTCTTGTGAAGCCACAACCTTAATTCCGCCTTAGTGAAGCTTTCTACAAATTTCATCCTGGGTAGACAACTGTCTGTATGGGATGTACCATTAATACATAAGAGTTAGTACAGATGCTTGCATAGGTAAATACAGTTTCTTCTATTAGGGTGATACCCTTATCCATTTTCTTCTTCTTGCTCCTCTGTTGCTTACTGACCTCCCTGTCCTCTCCCTCTAGCCATCAGCACATCAGCCCAAGAGGTGTGTCTGCCTCCCTGGACATCCCCTAAGGTAGTGGATTAACTACAATATGACAAATGGGGGTATCCTGTTGTAGGTGCAATAAGGGAGGGAGATTGAGAGAACAAACATATCCCTGTATGTTAATTGACACTGGAGCATTATATGTTCTATTCCAAAAGAAAACTAGCATACATAAGATGCAAGCTCTGTCTTCAGTGAGTTAGCATGCTCAATAGCACTATAGTTGGGAATACAATCTTTAGTCACAAGGGGGCAGGAGTTCTCCATTACTGCTTTAGCTTCATTTTACATCACTGTGCAGAGGAACTTGGAGATATTTGAAAAAAAATCCATGAATTAAGTTAAAGCAATAAAGGAGGGTTTTGGGTTTTTTTTTGTAAACTCAAAAGGAGAAGAGATATGACCATCACTCTTGTACATACAGGGACACTTACGAAAATTCATTCAAATTAACTAAAAGCTGTGAATGTAAAGTGGATTAGTTAAATGGCATTAAACTAAGTGGAAAGTCTCATTCAGAATTAAATCCACTTTCAGCTTATTTGGATTAATGTTCTGAGGGCTTGTCAACACTTAAAATGCTACAACAGCACAGTATTGGGGGGGGAGCAGGCAGTTCTGCAGGATCCAGTGAAGCTGGCTCCCCCGAGTCCATTTATTCAAGAATTCCCACCTGCCCCCCACACTGCTGTCTCTGTAGGAGGTAGCAGGGGAAGGGCAGGTGTCTGTGCAGGAACTGGCACACACGAGGAGTTGGCATAAAAGCCAGTTCCCCAAGGGCACTGGGTCCCGCAGCTTGCTGCCTCTGATACAGAGGCAGCATGGAGTGGGAGATGCATGTAGTCATTTGGAATAACTTGGCTTATCAATTAATCATTTAACTGTCTATACGTTAACAGCCCTAGTCTACAGCCGTCTTTGTGAGGACTGAGTTTAACAAAGCCATTCAGGGGAGTGGATTTTTCATATGCTGATTGCTGTAATTAAACCTACTTAATTTTCTAGTGTAGACTAGACCAGAGCACCCTGTGTAAACAAGCCCTTAAATACTTCCTTCCCTGCCAGGATTGCAATTCCTCTTGTCATGGAGTTACTTATCACCTTTTAACAGCTGTCTAGGTACATTTTCAAAAGAGAAACTGTGCCTACATGGGCCTCTTTATACAGGCCTGGAAGAGGTAGAATTTCTTTATACAGGCCTGGAATTTCTCTTTTGGTGGGAGAAATTCTGTAGTGGCGGAAGTGTCATGATGTAGGACAGGTGTAGTGCCTCATTTTTCTTCTGATTTTCTAATTTCCAATCAGGTTCTGCCAATTGATGCCTATAACATTCCCAGCAGTTTTGTAATTGGTCAGAGATAGTGTTCTAAAGTCATCACAGTATATCCAAATAAAAATGTCCTTCAGCTTTGTGTAGTGCCTAACAAACTTGGTCTGCAAGGTATTTCTAACTAGAAAACTTACCCAGTGTTGCTCAGGTTGGTGATGTGAGGGGTGCAGGAAACAGGACAGGGGGTTTGGAGGTGTATGGAAGGCTCAGGGCAGGAGGGTGCAGGATTTAGGCAAGGCAGGCTCAGGCCAAGGGGCTGGGTGCACGCTTCCCCCCAGATCCTCATGAGTGGAGGAGTGTGTGATCCAGAGCAGTGTGATCCAGCCCCATCAGGCCCTCAGAGAGAAGTGGGGGAGACAACTGTGCAGTTTAGCCCCAGCAGCTCCTTAGGGTTGTTACCTCTAACTTTGAGGCCCCACTTGTAATGAGTGTTCCTATTGCGAAGCATAACCTAGATATTAAATGATTGGCATGCCATCAAAATCTTAAGAGTGCAAGTCCTTTAGTACATCTTGGCATCACACTTTTAGTCCTACACATTTTAGAAATACATTAGTTGATGGCTAATGTAACTCATAATTACCTATCTATATTTTAGAAATGTGTGCATCTGTTTGTTCAAGAACTCCTCCAAACGGTAAGAACCAGGACCACCAAATTTGATAGGCAGTTTCCTCTTATCCTCACTTAAAGCAAGGTCAGGGTTTGGTTGTGCCAATGGGATGTGCCTGCAATCTGACTGTTTTCTATAACACAGAAAGGGAGGGAACTAATTGGAGGGACAGCTATACTGCAGGGTGGCCACACAAGGAAGACTATGGCCAGCTGGGGCCAGCGCTTGCCAAAACCCTTCCCCCTCAGCTGCAGTGCTGGCCTGAGGAGGGTGGGAAGGAGTGCTGGCTACCCCCGCCAGAGGAATCACAGCCCACCCCAGCAGCATGCTCACCCCCCATTTGGCCTGCATGGCTCTGCCCCTGGGGCCAGGCATAGGGAGCGTTGCTGGGGCTGGCCTGCATGGCCTCTCTCTTCTTGGCTCCCCGTCTTTCCTAGGCCCAGGGGACACTGGCCTGCATGGCCCCTCCACCCTCTGGCTCAGGATTGGGGAGTGCCCTCCTTTCCCCCTTCCTGGGATCAGGGAGAAGCCAGCTGACAGGGTGTGCAACCACCCCCACCTCCTGAACCTCTCCTCACCCTGTGCCCTGACTCCACCCCCTGCCTCCCACCTCCAATCCTGACTCCCGCACTCCCCCCCCACATCTCCAGCCCCCTGCCCTAAGCCCCTACTTAACCCCCCCATACACACACCCCAGCCATCTGCCCTGAGCCTCCCACATCCCCAAGGCCCTGCCCTGACTCCTGCACCCCCCACACTGCCACCCCCAGCCCTGAAGGACCCAGGCAATGCTGGCTAAGTCTTCTAGTGTATACAAATTTGTATTATAGTGTATAATAATGAGCACTAATGGAATCTCAGTAAAGCTGTTTCTCTTTAAAGAAAATGTGCAGATTTGCTGAAGAGTAGGAAAATGTACGAGACCGATGACTACAGATGCATTCAAACAAAAGTCATGGGCTTTGGCCCTGTTGATTTAAATTTGAGTATGAAAGAACAGCATCTTTACCCATAAATTATATCAACTTGGATTTTAATTCACTCCAGTATATTTTTGTTATTACATCCCACGCCAGTGCTCTAAAATAAACCTACCTCTCCCCTCCAACTGGCTGTCTCACTAATCTAATCCAAATTAGTATTACCTTACTTTTGTCCTAGTTGCTTACACAGTAGTTTCTCCTGTGCAGAGCCATTTCTTGTTCAAACCAAGAAAGTTCTACTCCTTTCATGTAAAAAGATTAGTTAATTGAGAAAAGAACCACTTAGGTCATACTCTGTTACAGGGAGTATAAAGAGAATAAAAGGAGTGAAGCCTGCAACACATGCATTGGTTGTATTCCTGCCTCTAAATCAAGAGCATCCCTTGCCAACCTGACATTTCCATTGAAGTCAGTAGGAATTTTTTTGGCTTTGCAAGGAAATGCACACTCATCTCACATATCAACAGTTATGCTAATGTTGTGCAATATTTAAAAAAATATTCTGCCTGTCAATGGAGAAATGTCTTGCCTGAATGAAAACATAAGCAACCCTTAGTATATCAAGGCCCACACCACAGAAGGGCTAATTATGGATTGCAACCACTATTTTTCCTTCGTATTACTCTCCACCTTTCAGTCAGCATATGGTGAGATATTGCTTGCAGATATTCCCTCTGTCCTGTGCAGTTCACTCTCTGTAACCTGATCCATATTGGTATGTCTTTCACCACTCTTAGCCTGGTGGCCCAAGTTTCTCTGAAGCTCCACTTGCACTTTGATCCTAGAGTCTTGAATTGATTTCCGGATATTCCGCAGATTCCAATGTGTTCGCAGGAGAGCACTGTCTAATGTAAAAAAGCCATCCCGTATCCGCCGCACCTGGGTGCACACAGCAGTTGATTTCAGCTCCAAGCCAATCTCGTGAACTACCTTTCGAAGGTACTTCTGGGTCTCATGCAAACACTGGATTTCTGAAGGAGGCAGAAAGACTATATTAGAAGGGCCAGCACATATATGCAACAAAACACCATTCCTGGAAATTCAGACACCAGTCACTGGGATTGACGTGCAAAAAGAAAAGTTAATTCAGCAGAAAAGATGCTCTTTTTTAAGTACATGACTGTATAATCACGATTATACAGAGATCTTGTACAATAGCCCAAGCCTTCAAAAGAGTCAGTTTTACAAAAACAAGTTTCAAATATAAGATCATATAATAAGAGTTAAATATTTGGGCTAGGCAAAGGTCATGGTTTAGCTGCATTTGTGTTTGCCAAAATAATTCAAGACGACCAAAAAGGCCATAAAAGGTGAACCACAAAGCTTTTATAAAAAGACTGGTTAGGATCCCAATTTCTCAATATCTGTACAGATTTAAGAACTTTTAACAATGTTTAATAGGTGCTTTGTCTTCAAATTAAAGCCCAAATCCTGCAAATGGCTACACACATGGACCCAAGGACTTGTGTTGAGCTCCATTAACTTTAATGGGGGTCTATGCAGGCACAAGAATCTGCCTGTAAAAAGTCAATTGCAGAATCAAGTTGTACGGAAATAACCCTTGAGGCAGGTAAGAAAAATCATTGTCCTTACATCAGCTGTGGGAAAATAAGGCATAAGGATATATGACTTGCACTATACCAAGTATTGTAGAAGCTATTTTATGTTTAGCTAGAAGCCATCTTGTATATCAGAAACCATTTCAGCTTTTCTCTCAAGCACGTAGACCAGAGTGAACTTTCTGTCACCCCGTGAGAAGAGGCCTACAGGATGGGCTATTGGTATGTGTTAATTGGGCTGGTTGGGACAGGAGATGTACTCCCTCGTACCTGTCCGCCATCTTGTTGATAAGGGTTTGTTTTTCCAAATTTAATTGAGGATTTCTGTAATTGGATGCCCTGACGTCAGACTGTTTGGCTAAGGGTATAAAGATACTAGGATTGATTGTATTAGCAGTCTTACTGGGCCCGGCTCTGCTGTGACCACGTTTGGCTCATGCTGTGCTTTATTAATTAATAAAGCTGTTTGTTAGCTGCCTAAACACAGAGGAGCGTGTTTTTGCTTCGACAGAAGTTCATGTTAGTGCCAGGTTTGGAATGCAAGCGTCTTTCAATCCTGAATTTAAAACAGATGACAGATTTACAGCCATGGGCACTGGAATTCTTTATTCACAGATCACCTGTGGAACTCCTGCTCACAAGATATCACCAAAGTCAGAAGATAGTAGGATCTAAAAAATAATTTTATGTTCAGTTCCATTATACAGGATTAAAAAAAGTTAATAGAAATATAAGATCTCATGCCGTAGGGCATAAATGGACTACTTCCTTCATTGCTTCCTTAAGTGGGAGGCAGTTGGGTTCACCAAATGACTAGTCATTGTATACATCTCCTGTATCCCCTAAAATGAGATTAAGAGTAGGCCTTGAACACCACAAGCAGAATAAAAAGGGAAGACTAGTTTGTTTTGCAGAAGGATCAGCTTTAAAAAAATGTGGAAGACATTGCACAGGAAGAATTGTGCCTTTTTAACTATCCTTTGAAGTACCGTCAGAAATAGAATACTGAACTAGGTGGACTATCAGACTGATCCAGTACAGTACAGCAGTTATGTTCCTACCAGAAATTGCACAAATGTCTCGATGCTGCTCAATCCTAATCTGGAGATTCCATGTAGCACAAAGATGGTCTGTCAATCTCTCTGGCAAATTTAATCATTGAGGTATTTGCTGAGACTGTCAGTGTTACCACAAAACAGCTAGATGATTTTGCCACTATATTCATATATACTTCCAACATGCTCCCAAATGGGTTAGACCATACCTAGTTGGAATTCTGGAGGTGCAAATTGCAGGCATCGAATTGCTGTGATTAATGGAGGGGTTTTTTCCATTGGGCGAATTAAACCTTCAACAGCCAGCTCATAGGCCTCTTGAGTTTTCAGGTCAATCTTAGAATACCTGGAGAAAGGAAAAGAGCAGTGAATTTGCATTTCCAGCCATCAGAGATTCTGAGGCAGAAGGGACTATCATGACACTCTAGTCCGACTCTTTGCATAACACAGGTTATAAAACTTCTCCAAAATAATTCCTAAAGCGTATTTTATAGAAAATCATCTAATCTTGATTTGATTTAACAGTTGTCAGTGATGGAAAACCCACCATGAAAAATTGCTCCAATGGTTAATTACACTATTTAAAATGTACACCTTTTTTACAGTCTGAATTAGGGATGTAATAGTGTAGTCAATTAACTGATAAGCAAAGTGTATAGGTTAATTTGATAGACTACAAGCATTCCCCCCATCCCTGCCAGTAAATTTTTAGCAGGCTGGCCAACAGCCCAGTTCAGTCCTGGCTCATGCCAGGTCCAGGGCCTACTCCCAGTGTGGCTCTGCATTTAAAGCGTATTAGGAGCGAGACGGGCAGGCAACCCAACTCAGATTCGGCTCATTCCAGGTCTAGGAGTTCAGTCCCCCTCCCTGGACAGGGGCTGCTGCCTCTGTATCAGAGGTGGCAGCATGGGGCGACAGGCAGCCAATCCACAAGGGAAGCTGGTTTTTAAACTGGCTCCCCTTGTTGACCAGATCCCGCATGGCACCCCATGCTGCTGCCTCTGGGGACCTCCCCAGGAGTGGGGCCAGAGTGCAATAGTTGCCAGTCCCACCCCCGGGGACTATAGAATAGTTGAGTAACCAATAAGAATCCATGAGGTTAACTAACTATTCAATTAACTGATATTTAACATCCCTAGTCTGAATTTGTCTCACTTCAGCTTCCAGCCAGTTTACTTTTCTTTGCTAGATTGATGAGCCCCTTATTAAATATTTGTTCCCTACATAGGTATTTATACACTGTTTTATCACCCTTTAAGCTTTGTCAAAATAAATAGATTCAAGTCTTTGAGTCTCACTCCAATGCCACTTTTCTAACCCTTTAATCATTCTCATGGCTCTTCTCTGAACCCACTTGTTTTTCAAAATCCTTAAAATGTTGACACCAGAATTGGACACAGTATTCCAGTAGCAGTCACACCATTGCCAAATACAGAAGTTGAATAACGTTTCTACTTTTGAGAATCCTGTTTATGCATCCAGGGATCACATTAGCCCCGGTGGCCACCATGGCACTGGGAGCACATGTTCAAAGAGCCTCTGTTTTGTTATAAACACCAAAGATCTGTTCAGTCTCTATAGTTTCTAAGTTAAGCTCCCCAACAACTGTGCCTGATAGACTCATTGCCCTATAAATGATATAAGCCTACGTATTGTCAGTAAGGTTCTACAACTGGAAGGGAAGGCAAACTATCATATCAAGCAGAAGAACTGTCATTTTACCACCATGTCATGTATAGGTTCTAAAGCAACATGGCAATTAAGAAGCCAAAGGTAGCCTCATTAGTCAGAGAACAAGTGGCTGATTTTCCTGTCTGGGTGTGACAGGGAGTTGGCCCTGCTCTGGCCCTTTAAGGGCAAACCCCAGCCTGGAGCAGGGCCTGGGAGTTTAGCCCCAGCTGAGGCTGCATTAGTTGATTAGGGCCCAGCTGGGAGCTATATAAGAGGACGGGCTGCTGCTCCCAGGAAGAGCAGTGAGAGCCTGGCTGCTGGGGGAGTAGGAGGCTGCCTGGAGCTAGGGAAGGGCTGGGGAGGCAAGGCAGGACTAGGAGAGCTCTGGCCACACAAACCCCAGACTGCAGGGCCTGAAGCACGGCCTGCTGAAGAGACAACTACACACAGAAGAGGGGCTCAGAGACTGACGTGGGCACTGCCGGAAGGCAGTGTCCTGAAGAGAACACTGCGGCCTGGAGGGAAGAGGGGAAACACCACCTGAGGGAAGGTACCCTGCCAGCAGAAGGAGCTAATTCCTAGGACAGATGGCAGGGGGTGCTATGGTGGTGAGTGAACCCCCTCACACTGGGGCTCACATCTTTACAACTCATTACAGCAAACAACTGACTAATCTCATTGTTCCAATGATCAGTAAATGACAGCAAGGAAGTCAGGTCATCTAGGGTTTTTGACTAGATACATACATCAGTAGAGCTTTATGATTGGTTCCCTGAATGACAGCAAGAATCCGTTCCAGCTTGTCCCTTGTGACATGATCTGCAAATGTTAGAGGACAAAAGAGGGACATAAATCTTCACTTATATGCATAACCCAGCACCTGAAAAGAGCCTTAGTCTCAAATCAAGATTTGCCATTTCCTGGTCAAATTGTCATATCTAAATGGGTGGGTGGGAAGCCCATGAAAGATGGCTTCAGTGTAACACAAAATAGCAGCACAGGAAGTTGACCAGTCCATACATACCATACCAGTACTTAAAGTGGAAGAGTCTCTGCAGCAAAGGCAATAGAGTTTGCATTCGTTTCAAGATGAAGGCTATAATTCATCACATGAAACATTTCAAGATTTTGTTCAATATCAGAACCTTTATGAAAGTTTCTGATCACATTCTTGGGGTGAGGCTGTCTCCTGAGGTACAAGGAGATGGTGTACACCAGTGATCACCAACCAGTAGATCTACTGATAGAGCTTGCAGCCTCTGACAGGTGATTCTGACTGGTTTGGCCAAGAGGCTATCAAGCGCCAGCATTTTATCTGCCCCTCTCAGTGCTGCCATGCTGCTCCTGCCCTTTGCCTTGGAGCTGTCCCCCTTGCCCCGCCCCCCCAGGAGCTTCCCTGCTCCCCACAGGAAGCAGGGAAGGGAGAGGAGGGGGCACTGATAGGAGGGTACCCCCCTTCCCAGCCTGTATTCTATCTCCACAGAATGGGGTAGGGGGGGGCATGACAGGGCTTGGGATGGAGGGAGTTTGCAGGCTGCTTTTGAGAGTGGTGCAAGGCCACGGCAGGGGAGAGCTTGCCTTAGCCCCACTGCACAACCACTCAGGAGCCACCTGAGGTAAGCAATGTCCAACTGGAGCTCGCATCCCAAAACCTTCCTCCAGTCATGAAACCTCTCCTGCACCCCAAGCCCCTGCCCCAGCCCTGAGCCCCCTGGACTCAAACTCTTACAATACTTGTACCCTGAATCCTCTCCTGCACCTCAACTTCCTGCCTCAGGCTCAACTCAGAGCCCCTCTCACACTCCAAATCCCTTAGCCCAAGACCAGAACCTGCACCCCAACCCTCTGCCCCTGCCTGGTGTAAGGGAGGCAGGAAGGAGGAAAGGAGGGAGGACAGAGAGAGCAGGGGTAGGGCCTTGAAGAAGGGTCATGGAGGAGGTAGGGCAAGGGGATTTGGGTTTGACATAGATCTTGGATTGCACTTAAATTCAAAAAGTGACCTTGTGCTTAAAAAGGTTGGAGTCCACTGGTGTACACTGAAGTTTGTGAACACATATGATCAGGATTTTATATAATTGACAGACATATTGTGGCTGTATTTAGCATACTACAGGGTAATATGTTTACAGTGGTGAGACTTCATGGGAGAATAATCATAAACAAAGATTAGAAAGTTCTTAAAGGTGTGCTAAATGTTGCACAATCTAACACTTTACTTTCTAATTAGAAATCTTTATTTACAACACAACCAACTCTCTTACCAAATGTGGTCTTCTCTATTAGCTTGCCTGTATCCGAGAAGTCATCTGTGGCTTTGCCAAACAGTCCACGAACAGTATAAGTCTTCAAAAAGGAAAAGTGCAAGGTATGGGGGCAACTGTTTGCAACAGCTGAGAAGCTATATCTTGGCATGCAGCAACTACAGGAAATCATGGAACAGGAAAGTTTTCTCTAAAGGAAAGCTGTCTATGCACAGTAAGGGTATGTCTAGACTACATGTCTCTGCCAACGGAGGCATGTAAACTAGGCAACCCGACATAGTCAGAGAAGCCAGGATTTTAATATCCCCAGCATCATTAAAATAAACATGTCCGCCGTACTGTGCCGGCTCAGCTGATCGTCGGCACAGCGCGAGAGTCAAGATTCGGACCAGTGGACAGGGGAAGCCTTTGTCGACCACTCCAGTAAACCTTGTTTCACGAGGCATAAGGGAGCAGTCAACAAAGGCTTCCCCTGTCCACTGGTCCGAATCTTGACTCTCGCGCTGTGCCGACGATCAGCTGAGCCGGCACAGTACGGCGGACATGTTTATTTTAATGACGCTGGGGATATTAAAATCCTGGCTTCTCTGACTGTCGGGTTGCCTAGTTTACATGCCTCCGTTGGCAGAGACATGTAGTCTAGACATACCCTAAGTGGTGCCTCTTACTTCATATGCACTGCTAATGGCTTTGGAAAGCAATGATGATTTGTTTGAAGCTCAAATGTAGCGTGTCAGCCACTTCTGCTGGCAGCTGCCTCCATAATAAAGAAGCAAGCATTATGCCTTGTGACAGCAGTTCAAGCTCCTCAGGCTCTTGAACCAGTTTCTGACTGACTTAGAATGGTTACAGCCTTTTTAAAGCTCACATGTGAACAGGCTTTTACGACTCCCATTTGTTCACAATTTGCCAGGCTCAAGCCACTACAATGCTGATTTATTTGCAATGTCCATAAAGATCAAACTTTGTACAGCAAGGTGGGAAATAACAGTCTGCAGGTCAGGCATAGTTCACCAGAGTTAGTCCCTAGTGGGCTGCCAGTGCTTTATTTACCTGCACAGCCACAAGTACGGCTGCTCATAGCTTCTGTTGGGTGCAGATTGCTTTTCCCAGCCAATGGGAGCAGTGGGAAGTGATGTAGCAGACTGCACTGCTTCCTGCAGCTCCCATAAGCAGTCCACGGCCAACACGAGCTGCAGGTGGACATGCAGGTAAATAACCATGGTGAACCACACCTGGCTTATGGGCCACTTATTGCCCACCCTTATTGAACATATTGTGGCACGTGAGAGGGATGCATAATGTTTGTATTAGGGATGTGAATGCGATAAGGGTGAAGGGCTTCTCCAGGCCCACCGGCCCCAAGCAGGGCTGCTACTTCCAACCTCCCCACACATGGCCAGGAGCAGCCAAGCATTTAACTGGTTAACCAATTAAACAGTAATTTACATCCTTAGTATGTATACGTGTACTTATATATACTACTGTATCTGTCTCCCTAACCTAAGGTTATTACCCAGTATGCTGTCACTGCTATCAGCATTTTAGCTTGGGCTATAATAGCAATGGTGGGAGCAGTAACATAGATGGTTAAAAATGCTGATGCTTTTTCACATCATCTAGACATGCATTGAATAAAGTTAGAATACAGTGGCAGGCAGTTGGTGTCTTTTTGTGGAAAATTTTAAGGAAGCAGAGTTAATGTATCTTAGCTCTGAGTTGAAGGAATTCCCTCCAGTAGTAAGAGGTCATTTTCCAGAGTCCATTCTACTTTGGCTTCTCTGCCATGGCTGCCAACAAACACAGCACATGGGGTTTGTGGAGTATGGATTAGGGATGTGAATGAGTAGTCGACTAGACGATTAACCGATAAGCCTATGTTTATCAGTTAATATAGTCAACTACTCACATTTCCCCTTCCCCATTCTGCCTCTGATACACAGGCAGCAAGGGTGGGGGAGCAGGAGCTGGCTTAAAAGCCGGTTCCCCCCTCCCCTCCACGCAGTGGGAGGGGAGTAGGGGTGGCTGCCAGGAAGCAGCTCCTGCCCTCACAGTGGGCCCAGGCTCACTGTGGATGTTTGCTGCTTTGCAGCAGCAGCCCCTGTCTGCAGGGATTCGAGTTCCTTGTGGACAGGGGCTACTGCCAGAGCAGCCTCTGTCCATGGCCAAACAGAAGCTACTTCACTGCAGCTTCCTTTGCCCCACCCCCTCAGCAGCCTCTGTCCACGGGGAACTCGGACCCCCGTGGACAGGAACTGCTGCCACCCAGTGCTGCTGCCTGCCCATACAGAAGCAGCAGGACCCTGCACTCCTGCCTCTATCAGAGGCAAGGGGGAGAGGGGTTGGGAGGGGGCCTGCAGGGAGGCAGTGGCAGCAGCAAGGGTGGTAGGGAGCTCCGTGGGAGTGGGGCTGGGGTACACTGGCTGCCGGCCCTGCTCCCAGGGACTATAGAATAGTCGACTAACCACTAAAAATTCATGAGGTTAGTTGACTACTTTGTTACCCGCTATCTAACATCCCTAGTGTGGATACCTATCTCCTCACTAGAAATAGACTGAGACCCATTTTGTTTTACAGAAGCCTCCAGACAGCAGTGTCTTCTGCTTGGTCCTGACCAGGCAAGATTCAAACTGACCTATGGTAAAAAGCTCCATCCCAATACCAGTTCCCAAGCCCCTCACATGGTTCCCCCCCTTCCTCAAAGGAATATTTAATATTCCTTAACCTAGTGCCTAGTCAGTTGTGTGTGTTATTACTTCATGTGATATACTAAGAGTAGGTCACATATGCCGCCTCCTCCTTGATGAAATTTCTAATGGCTTTGATTTCCAGTGAGAATGGGTGTTGCATACAGAAATCCCCGAACAGTGCCAGTGCATACCCTGGTAAGATGGGCATCATACAGATCAGTGAGCAGCTTGTTCCCATGGCCTACTCCAAGCACTGAAATACAAAAACAGGAGGCCATTAATCAGTCACATAACAATTATTTGGGCATAAGTATTTTAATATAGCACCATACTCTCCCCTGGCACTGTTCAGACAAACAAAAAGCAGTCTCAATGTACCCAGAATTTATAGTCTGTTTCTGCTTCTCTTTGTTGCTGAGAGTTGCCACCACACACTCAAACCTGTGACTGACACTAAAGCAAGAACTACTCAGAGCTAAGTGCTAGTGTTGTCTTGTGCTTTTCATCTTACAAAAGAAGAACAGAATCATTATCCCCATGTTACAGACAGGGAAACAGAGGCACTTGAGCAGTCAGGCTCACACATGGCAGAGTCAAATAAAGAATACAAGTCTCCCAGTACAGTGCCTTCCACTGGACCATGGTGCCTCTCTGAGAATAACTTAATTTATTGTCTCCAAGGCTTATGATTCCTAACCTCACAGAACCATCATATCAGATTTGTGTGTTTCTCCTGTAATTTAGCATTTCTACTTCTGCCCGTCCTACAAAATCCTCAAATGCTGCTAGTCGCCAGCTCAGTGTGATGTGAGCTTATATATAAACAAAAGACAGAACTGTGTAGCACTTTAAAGACTAACAAGATGGTTTATTAGGTGATGAGCTTTTGTGGGCCAGACCCACTTCCTCAGATCAAATAGTGGAAGAAAATTGGCACAACCACATATTGATCTGAGGAAGTGGGTCTGGCCCACAAAAGCTCATCACCTAATAAACCATCTTGTTAGTCTTTAAAGTGCTACACAGTTCTGTCTTTTGTTTCAGCTACACCAGACGAACATAGCTGCATCACACAGTTCTGTCTTTTGTTTCAGCTACACCAGATGAACATAGCTGCATCTCTATCACTATCATCTATAAAAACGTTCTCAATGCTGTACCTTGTAATTTAATGATGAATCTATATTTTCATGTCTTTCAAAACAAAACATACCAAGCACTCCAGATGACTTTGTATCCAGCCGGTGACCTACTCCAATTTTCAAGTGAGTGAAGTTTGGTCCTCTAACTACAAGGGAATGAAATATAATGTATGGTTTGTGGAATGGGCAAAAATTAATTTCACTATAAAGAAAAAAATATACCAAGCTTTTCTGAACAATATTGTGATGGTAACAGGCAATATATATGGTCCCAATACAATCTGATCTTGGTGATTCCACAGTGTTAAAAATCTTATGATTTATCATGTGCATAATGAAACCACTTCTAGTAAATCACTGCCTAAAATAGAATCAAAGTCTTCAATCTCTCCAATGGATTCTTGCTCTTCTCTCTACTATAAATGGGTTGCATTGCATTTATCCCCTTTGAATGCAGTGATTACCAGTGACCAGATAACCATTAGCTGCAGTAATCTAAGGGAATTAATATTTCTTATTCCTTTTTTACTCTGGGATTGTTTTCTCATTGGGCAAGTCAAATCTAGAAATGATAGTAAGGCGTACACCAGCTTTTCCACAGAAATCAAGATTCTTCTCCAGCCTCTTACCTAGTGGGTGGGCAGCCAGAACAGGCAACTGGGTAACAGTAAGGGTCAGCTCTTTCCCAGCATTTCCTTCTACAGTGGTTGGCAGGAAGCGTACTTGCTGTGGCATATCTGGTTGTTTCAGAGAGTTCAGTTCTACAGAAATGGTTAAAAAAAACCCTTTTAATATTCTGAAAGTGTCTTATCTTGCAAGTAAGTTCAGTTAAGACCCTCGATAGTTTTCCTGAAAAACCATGGGACACAGTCTGAAAAGAAAATACAGTGAAGGGGGATGACAAACAAACAGAATGGCTACGTCTACACTGGCATCCCTTCCGGAAAAGGGATGCTAATGTAGCACGTTGGAATAGGCAAATCCGCAGGGGATTTAAATATCCCCCGCGGCATTTGCATTAACATGGCTGCCGCTTTTTTCGGCATCCCTTCCGGAAAAGGGATGCTAATGTAGCACGTTGGAATAGGCAAATCCGTGGGGGATTTAAATATCCCCCGCGGCATTTGCATTAACATGGCTAGGATTTCTTATTCCTACTTGAAAGTTAATTCAACAAAAAACATATAGTTGTATGTGTAGATGGGAACAGTATGATGAATACTGTAACATAAGAATGGCCATAAAGGGTCAGAGGAAGGGTCCCCTGAGTAGTCTCATAGTGGTCGGCACCACCTGCTTTTAAAAAAAAGAAAAAGAGTAGGGCAATTTTGAGTGACCCATCCTTGAAAGTAGTAATAAGAAATCCTCCGGAAAAGGCTTTATTTTCCGGAGAATAACGTCGAGACTGGTGCTTTTCTCCGGCTTTTTCCCAAGCCGGAAAAAAGCGGCAGCCCTGTTAATGCAAAAGCCGCGGGGG